AGATGACCAACCACTAGGCGAACTTGTTCCACTTCCAAATGAAGACATAGGACGCCTAGAAGCTGGGCTGCAGTCTGTCGAACCGGAGCAACAACCTGCATAAAATACAAAAAGTTAATCCTTGTTCATGCACCAAACACATAATATTGGAGTGTGCAGAGGACAGTCTACTAATTACTACTACGATTTCGACTTCTCGTAGCCCTAGAGACAAACTTTGCAACCTTTGTGCACCCACATAAAGCTCAGAAGTCATTTATCAAAAGTTCGATAAGGAATGTACATGCAGAAGGGATAGATTGTCCTCAATTTGAGAGAAGGTGCAGAAAACCATAAGGAAAGTTCAAATCATTTTGAAAGATTGTCTTAAATATCGTGAGTGACACTAAATTTAAAAAAGATCACTCTAAACCCATTTAAAAGGCTAATTACTCTTTCAATAAAAACATAGTTATTGCAATTTAGTTCTAATTTTACTACTTTTCTACCCCCCCCCTTTGTTCCCAACAATAACAATTGAAAAAAGCGAGATAGAGGAATTACCAAATCACTTGCGAAATCCGAAAATTGATCCACGGCCAACGTGCAGAGTACTCGTACAATAATATCCTCAAGGTATATCCTATTGGCAGTCCGATTCTGAAAGACACAGCAGCGTAGGCGAGTTATAAAGCAATGTACACGAGTAAGCAAAAAAGTTAAAGACTACAGAAAATTTTTCATCATCCACAATGATTAGCCTAAGTGAACACAAAGGAGGAGAGGTCGAGAAAATGACTTGAACAAACCTCAGCTTCCATGGTACCATTCTTGGTACCAGCATGCCGAGTGTGTTGTGGGAAGGCCAGGAGTTCACGGAGACCTGAGGCAGCTCCGTGCCGAATTTCCCAGGAAACGTTCCACAAATCACCCAGAAGACGCATACACATGGAATTGAGTGGCCAATCGGTGTGGAGGGCTGTGGCGGTGGCTTTTGCAAACAAGGTCGATTCGGTGTAGCTACTGTTGTTAAAGCAAATGGAGAAAATTTAGAAAGAAAACATAACGTCATTACAAACTTTATTCCTCTTTTCCCTGTCTGCCTTCATATTCCTTATTGAACTAATTTGTTGTTTAATGTGTTCGGATGATTTCTATCATTAAAACCTGACACTATTTGACTCAAAATGAGAAGCAAATGAATGATCTGCCTATTACATCTACTTGCTGTTGTAAAATCTAAATGTTTTTTTAACAGATTACCTCTTGTAAAAGATTTTACATCGATCCATTCAGCACTATTTACTGTATTATTAAAACCTGTGGGTTAAATTCGTATTTAACATTACTATGCAACCAGTTACTGTATAAAAAAACATTATTAAATGAACAACAAATTATCAAAGTTAAACAACGAGCAAATGAGATACTAGTTTTCTCGAGCATGAAGCCAATTGGGATCTATACGGATATATCTATTAGGATGACAACTTTAATCATGGACATTAAGCCTTACTCGTCTTAGAATCCAGCAGTGAGTGCATTTTGAGATCATATGCTTTTCTTGATGAAAGGTTACTGTTTATTTGTTACACTGCAGTAATAACCACAAGACTGACCAAGGATCACCTCTTCTTCCGATTTAATACCTATATCCACTATAAATGTTAGCAGACTAAACCCAAGTGTGTTCTTTTTGGTGTTTCAAACGGATGAAAAAAGAATACATTCAACAAAAGTACACAAAAAAAGCAGACAAGATAGTGCAACTCACTTCGCGTTGGCATTAGTATTGCCGTAGGCTTGTTTAACGCTTTCCTAAAACACAGAGAAAATATTCCGATGAATAATAAGCACGTATGTATAGCCACTCAAGCAGGAATGAGTAGATGACCTTTGATTAACCTCTTAAGGTTGCAGCAAAGTTCACACACACACGCGCACACAGAGTGTACAGCTGCGCAAACAACACGGAATTACCCGAATAAAGCCACCTTACCTGCAAGCATAATCAATAGCAGTTTAGAAGGTGTGTGCAACTTACATCGGCATTCACTAGATCATTATAATGAATGGAGGTGAAGAAATTAGTCAATTCAAATGCCCCCCCCCCCCTCCTCTTCGGTAAAAAAGAACGAAAGGAATTCATCTAATAAACTCTTCGCCAATTTGACCTGAATACCAATTTCAAGGAATGAGGCTTTAGTTGGACACTCTACAATATCACTCATTAATCCATCTTCTTGAAGCCGAAACTTGCGCTCAATCCTTACAAATGATTTGAAAAGTCTTTCAAATGACCTCCTAAAAATCAAAATGAAAAGATAAACGGAGAAAACAAGGAAGAGTTCGATTATCTCAACGAGTTGCAAACACAAGTGCCCAATCCTATGTGCTAATTAATAAGGTGCCATAAGGAGGGAAGGCCAAAGCAGGGTTGTGAAAATTAAATATGCTGTAGCAATTTTTAACGGCATAAACAAGGACAATATAAGAATAAAATTGGTCATTGAGCGAAAGACCATTTGAGTTGAACAACGAAGAGACAAGTAGAAAAGGCTATTTGATGAAGTTGAAAACCACAAAATGTAGAAGAGTGTTTCAAAGACGAAGGTAGAAAAGGTAGATAGAAGGCGAGGTGCGTACTATGGAAGTAGTTGAATATGACATACAGTGGGTCATGGTAGCTAGAGTCAACTGAAGGTAGAAAAAAGGCGAGGTGAGTACTGTGGAAGTGGTGAAATATGACATACAGTGGGGTGATGGTAGTTTGAAGTCAGAGGTATATGACATACAGTGGGGTGATGGTAGTTTGAAGTGAGAAATAGGTAGAAAAAAGGTGAGGTTAGTACTGTGGAAGAAGTCGACAGTAGAGCAAAGGTGAGGTGAGTACTGTGGAAGGGGTCGAATTTGACATACAGTGGGGTGATGGTAGTTTGAAGTGAGAAGTCGAAGAGAAAAGGTAAGATGAGTACTGTTGAAGTGGTCGAATTTAAGAAAAAAGGTGAGGTGAGTACTGTGAAATGGTCGAATATGGACAAAGGTGAGGTGAGTACTGTAAAAATAGTCGAATATGATATAGAGTGGGGTGATGGTAGTTTGAAGTCAGAAGTCAACTGCCGATCAATAGACTTTTTGCAAGTCAGAAGTCAACTGCCGATCAATAGACTTTTTTGTCTTTGAAGTCAGAAGTCAACTACCGTACAGTGGGGTCATGGTAGTTTGAAGTGAGAAGTCAACTGTAGGTGAGGTGAGTACTGTGGAAGTAGTCGAATATGACACAGTAAGGTAAGATGATTACTGTGAAAGGGGTCGAATATGACATAAGTGAGGTGATGGTAGTTTGAAGTGAGAAGTCAACTGCCTTAGTCGAATATGACATACAGTGGGGTCAGAAGTCAACTGCCGGTTTATAGACTTTTTGACGTATGAGTATACGTTGCCCAGGGTACACCACGTAGAGGTAAGTCTATCGCACACCCCGGGACGCATATATAGCAATGAGAAGGTAATACATTGGATAAACTTGGTAAACTAATTACGGTAACATTGAACTTATTTTAGGGGCAAAGTCACTATAGTCTCTGTTTAAGAAAACCAAACGAATATTTCCCCCTCCACAGACTTAGTGGGCTAATTATTAGCTGGTGAGTTTAAACAATCGCGCCTGGAAATTCAGTCTTGTCACTATAAAAAAATCGGTCATCTTAAAATTGTGCGATTGTGTTGCCATACACTGCGGTTGGACAGACAATATGATGTTGGATCATGAAGCATGAAACGAATTCGATGCCCATTTTCCTAAATCATTTATCACTTTAGCTCAACTGACCCACTTAGACTCAACATTACAGAAGAAAGAGATGAGAAGTCCACCTACATTGCTTTCATTAAAGGATTGAGTACGCAGACCAATAACCACGAAGATACAAGCACTCGGATCGAGTAATGACAGTCTTTTACACAATTTGTACTTATCACGAACTTTGCTGCGTACTATTAGAAACAATTCACTAAACTTTTTCACCAGACAAGCACTAGAAAATTATAACATCAGCAAATGCTCGCTACTCTCTTAGTACCTTGTGAAGATAACCTATACCGCCACTGGAATTGGAACAGAACCAACCTAGCCGATTTTGTTACCCCCATTACCATACTTCTATATCCGGATTCATCATCTGTTATTGATCTTAATCGAGCAGTATTCCAATATTCGCCTTAAAACTCTGCAGCAAAATAAAAGTGCTAAGATATTCAGCATTTCACAAAAAAAAACCAATTCAATTCAATGCAGACGTCAAATTTCACCTCCACTTTACATCACAAAAGTAGTGAGTGGATCAGTACAATATATTTCACACGTCCAACTTACCATAACATCAGTAATAATTTCACTAGGAGTCTCATCTGCGTCATCTTGCAGATCAGCAGTTGAAATGAGAGCCGATATCGACGTGTTGGGTTCGGATTCGAGGATGGTAGAAAGAAAGGTACCAGCTTTATCGCTTCCAGTAAGCCCCAATTGCCGATTCAATTCTTGTCTATCCAAGACATCCATACTTGAAACCGAGGTGCTGGTGGTGGAACCTCCATCATAAGCTGGATGAAATATACAATTTGTAATATCCTTAGCATGCTCAAGTACAAACTCCCACATAAATATTGGTGCACATTCATGAAAAATTGTTTGAAAATTGATCAAAATATCTATAGTAGCATTTGGGGAACAATGATCTCATCGAAAACGCAAAGGAATCATGCTTTTAACGAACATCTAAAAACGATTGTAGGCTAGCACAGAGCAGTTTTTAAGCAAATCTATCAACGGAAATCGATATTACCGGAAGTTTTGTCATGACAAACTGGTGAAAACAAAGACCTCTACGATATGTTGGTTGAAATGACTGTCACGATTTTGTGTAAACTTTGCCTGATGCCTGATCGTTCAAAATAAGTGTGCAAATAATAAGACGAACGATAACTCATCTGACACACTTCACAAATTACATTCGCAACTACTCTCTCGAACCTTGTGATAATTGCTTCACATGGATGACATGTGTAAGTTGTAAGGTTGTAACATTTCTTATGGCAGCCTACATTGAAAAATAAGATGCTTCTCAATACCTCTTGCCCAATTACTGATACACAGGCTCAATGAAATAGAAATAGTAACAAGGATTTTGTAATAATAGCCAAATTCGTTCGAAACCCCAATACATCAAGTTTACAAATTAAATGGACAACTGAATTTGAACCCACTTACCTACCTTTACAACTATCGGAGTCATCAAGTGTAAAAACCACAGAGGTCATCGTGTTCGTTTGACAAGCCAGATGTCTCGAATA